TAAAGTACTGTATATTCTTTCATTATAATTCCCCAGGTCACAAATACCAAAAAGTCCCATTTTTTAGTACAGCAGATTTCAGAATGACACCCAAGATGTGGGTGTTGCAAGCAGAGTGAAAAGTGGAGGCATGTGTACGAAGGTCCTGTGGAAGGAACAGGGCTGGTGCGTTGGGGGAAGAGAAAGGCCAGTGTGGCTGGATTACAGCGAATGGGGGTGGGAGAAGTAAACAAGGGTAAGACCATGTAGAGCATCTTAAACCATAGGAGAGAATCTGGACTTTAAGTACAATGAGAGTTTTAAGTGCAAGACAATATGACTTGAATAATATATTTAAAAGATCTCTCCTGCCATTGCATGGAGACCATACTGTAGAGGGGCAAGTGTGGAATGTGGAGCCACATCCCTGAAAGGACTCCTGAGATAAAATAGTTCCGTAACGAGAGAGCAGCTTCCACTTCTCCCTCCCCATCCTCCTCTGGCCTCTTCCATTCATGGGTGCACATGTCAATCCAGAAGGTGACTAGAAATGGGAAACTAAACGTAAGAACTAACCCATCATGGGTGAACAAAGGTGAGTCTCTATGCATAAAAGAGCTAAATTCTCTTTTAATGGAGCTCTACAAAGCGAATGGAGCCAGCTGAATGGGCCTAAATTTCTTCAGAAAATAAGTTTCTGCTTACTGCTGCAGCAGTTAAAGGAGCTATCCAGGGTGCTGGACTGTCTCACCCTGATGCTTTCTATGGTCCAGTGGATCAAGCTGTCACTTATCCTTGTTGAACTTAAGGCGCCCACTACATTGAACCATAACCAGACCCCATCCTGAAGCCATGTCCGCCTGGACGTAGCTAAACTTTAAGCCAACACCTGTCTTGGCCATGTCTGTTTGATCTAATGTTAAGCATCTTCTACATACGCCTTAAGAGAGATCATATGAAGTAGCAGCATAGCGAGAGGGATATATATACATATGTATATGTGTATGTATATTTTATTTATATATATATATATATATATATATATATATATATATACACATATATCTATGTGTGTGTGTGTGTGTGTGTATATATATGGGCTTGAGCCTCCACTGTGGCTCATGACCATTTGAAATAATATATAAGAGGAGCAGTGAGCTCAGTGGGGTCCTTTTCCTTGAAACAATACTCAAAGGTTGTACCTGGCCGCTGAACCAAATCTGCTTATGTAACTCATCAAGAGCCTCTGCCCACAACACATCTTAAGAAACACAGCTTCTCCACCTGCAATGATTAATAAATTCACAGAATATCCAATTTCATCCTCTTCCTTAAGTAGCATCCTTGACATTGCTTTGTTTTCAAAAAAGTGTGTTCAACTGGAGGCCATTACTCAATTTCTTGAGTAATCAGGTTTATACACCAGGTAGCGGATGAAAATGTGATGCTTTCAAGTCGAACACTTTACCTCTTCAGCTGAAACACTTAGAGCACTGGAGTAATCTGATGGATACTCACTTCTAGCTCTTCTCTGAAGTAACAAGAAAAACAGGGAGAGCTAGGGCATCTTCAGAACTTTCTCCCTGCATGCCAGGCCCTTCACTGTCCTTAAATAGGCTTGAGGGGCAGTGTAATTTATAAAGAGCCAGAGAAGTTCAGTAAAACTTTTTAGCCACAAGTTTTCAAGGCTATGCTGAACAAATGGGACTAGAAGCCATTAAACTTGCTCTGGTATTTCCCTATTATATATATGAGCAAATCCAACACATGGACATGCCATTAAAGTAAAAAAGAAATAAATGACTTGGTTTTTACAGTTTAAGGATAAACACATGGGCCAGAAATGTCTTTGTTTAATCTAATGGTAAAATTATTTCTTGTTAATTTTTATTCACAGAACTCCCCAAACTCCATCTCACCTCCTGGACTTTGCTCCTATGCTCATTCCTCTGACTGAACATTCATCTGCTCTTTCATTTTCCTCACTCGGCTCAACCTCCAGGCCTAATTTTAAATCGGAAAACCTTCTCAGAGCCTGACTCCACCTCCATGAGGACTGAGTGAAGCTCGGACTCCTGTAAGACCCTGCACTCACCCTCTGCCTGGCACCTGGCACCTGTCACATGGTAACTTAATTACTATTTATTGGTACATTTCTCCCACTACTGTACAAGCTCTATGAGGGTAAAAACCATGTCCTATAATGCATCTCCAAGGCCTTGCACAGTGCTTTGCCTACTAGAGGCAACTGATGAACAAACAAATGAATATAAATGAATGAGTGAATTTAATCATCTTTAAGGTCCCTCCCTGTCTCTAAAATTTAAAAACCCTGCCTTGTTTCTAGGCTTCTTCCAGAACTTTGAACTCAAGATTCATCTCATCGAAAAAAAACTTTACATGAATGACTTCATACCATGATAAATAACAAGTAGAAATTCCATTTTTGTGCAATTTATATAGTACAATTTATAGTACAATGAAATTCTACTATTTAGTCTGTATATCCAAGATGGAGATATGATATGTATTTTACTTATCAAAGAGTAAGCAGAAATGTTTTAAATATTTAAATTTGAGTTAATGCCATGCCAATAAAATAGTTGTTTTCATAAGCTCATATTTCCTTCATTGATTTTCTTTATGTTATTTGTGTGTGTGTTTTCTGTTCTTGATGTCTTAATTCTTTGAGACAATATTAAGTGTGTGTGTTTTCTATTCTTGATGTCTTAATTCTTTGAGACAATATTGTTTGATGTGAAGTTATGTAGTTCATTCCTAAATGCTGAATAAATATGACAAAAATAATCTGTGAGAACACTGCTATTGTTACTTGAAGGAGGATCATTTCTACTTTCAATCTTGGTAATTTTACATACGTAACTGACAATATTTTCTCCTCTTATATTCATCTGTTGTTTTCCTTATCTTTGTGATACAGTAGCACTTTGTCTATACTGAGTTCCTCTCTAATTACATCATGAGAACAAGTACCTTGGCCTTCCCAGGAAATTTCCCAAATAAATTCTAGTGTTGTGGGATTATAGATTGTGTCTTATACACATTTTGATTTTACTCAGAACATCTAGCATAGATGCAGAGTAAGTTCTCAGTAAACATGAATCAACATTAGATTTAGAAACCATCCATTCAATCAAGGGTCAGCAATTTACGGCCCACAGGCCAGTTCTGGTCAGTTACCTATTTTTGTATATAAAGTTTAGTTATCACATACCATTTACTTACACATTGTCTATGGCTCTTTGCAGGCCACAGTGCCAGAGTTCAGTAGCTACAACAGAGGCTGTATGGCCTGCAAAGACTAAAAGAGTTACCATCTGTTCCTATACAGAAAAACTTCGCTGCCTAATGCTCTAAATCATTTTTCCTGCTGAGGAAACTCAGTCTCAGATAAACGACTTGTCCAATTTTACAGCTGAACCTACCCACTAACCCTACTTCTGTCAAAGGATTTTTCACCACCAGGTTCAATGCCTGGGGAAAATAATGGTATTTTAGATTATATGAAATCAAATAAACAGTAAAACTACAAATAAACCTGACTGGCAAAAGTCCTTAAAGAGTTTATATTAACCAAAACCAAAATATAAATATAATTTTTCTAAATTAAGATAGTATTAGCTAAATAATATATTGTTATATATACACATGTATATTTTATATACACATGTATATTTTATATACATACACATGCATATATAAATATACATGCATATATATGTATATATAAATATACATGCATATATGTATATATAAATATATGTAGATGTTTACTTATGTATATATGTTTCTATATATAAAAACAAAAATTTACTATCAGAAAATATCAGTAATTTTATTAAAGTCCAACAACAACAAAAAAAGTCCAAGTCTTACAGTATTTTCTAAAAGGTATTGAAAGTAATAATTGTCAAAAGAAATGCTTTTAAAAAGGACCAGGTTGACTTCACACACTACTCTATTAGATACGAAAAGCTTTAAAAAAAAGTATATCTTACTGGCAACGGAAGGAAAAATAAATAGTGTGTATCAGCCCCGAGCAGGGCAGCGGAGAGCTACAGCAGAAAGTCCACGAGAATCATGCAGACTCCACCAGAAATAGTCCTAGTATTTATTTACTAAACTTGGCTTACGCTGGAAAGGCAAAGGGAGAATAGCAGAGGAAAATGCTCCACTGTTATGACAAACAAAGGGTCTTTAGCATAGACATTTTACATAGTAAAAGCGATTGCTTTTCTCCCCAGGGTGCCCTCTAAATGCAATGATATAAACACCCCTGGAGTAAAAATTAAGTGCAGCTCTATTTGGTAAACTACACACAAGAAAAGTATCAAGGCAGACAGGCAATTAAAATGTTGCAGGTAGATACTTAATAAGTGTTTGGTGCAGTACAGTTAGGCACTCGACCCTATGACAGGTCACTAGTTATTGTCTCTTCTCGTTTTAGCAAAAGGTCGTGTCATCTACTGAGATAACAAAGATGGAAGAAGAGCCTTAAAGGGTTTATACTAACCTAACCCAAAACGCAAATACAATTTTTCTAAATTGAGATAGTATCAGCTAAATAATATGTTGTTCTACGAGAATTGGTCTGGAGCAAAGATCAGAACAGACCGCTCATCTGACAAAGCCAAGGTGGAGAGGTAATTATGTATAGCCAACTAATATTACACATCATAGAAGCCTGGTTGCCGGCAACACATAAATACCCACCGGCCATCCCTCAGTCAGCGCACAGGCATCTCTGAGACCCAGGTGTTGAAATCCTCGGCCTGTCGAGCCGGTCGAGACTGTCCGGATCTTGCCAAATGGGCGAAGCATAATAACTCCGCCACAGCGGCCTGGAGCTCCCGTCTCTTCTACATGTTTCTACCACAGACACTAGTGGATCTGCTGAGTGTTAGGGTTTTGTACAAGTGGTCGCTCATATGCCTTCCTTCCTCTGTTGCTTCCCATCTTAGGATTAAAAATGGAATATGTCGTTTTCAACACACTATTACCTTGAATACTTCTCTTGAAGAAGGCCTTACAGCCCTCGCAGGACCAGACTCCGTAATGGTAGCCCGAGGCGTAGTCGTGACACACCGCACAGTAGCGCGTCTCCTTGGCGGACTCCACAGCCATGCTGCCCTTGTCACCGCTGCTGGCCAATCTCTCTCGGCCACCCTGGCGCCGATTATCTGAATTTGGCCTGTCACAGAAAAAAAGAAGTGAGTCCATTAATGTTAGAAAAGCAAAACATGTACTCTCTCCTCTCAAGTCTAAGAGGCTGGGGCATGCAGCAGATCCACTTTATTCTGACATTTTGAAATAATGAATCATAATGTAAGCTAATCTTCCTTATCTCTTGCCGTCTGCCGCAGCAAAAGGTGTTTGCCTATCATATTAACCTTGAGGGGAAATTGTCTATTGCAAACTTGTTTAAAAAAACAGGCTGCCTACACCGGAATATATTATCCAGAAAATGACAAGATGAAATTAGCTGGTTTCTAATAGACTTATTCTTTTTTCCCCCAGGGATCCACAATTAACTCAGCACCAGTGGAGACCAACGCTCATTCCGATTCTAGACCCTTCCAATTCTAGAAGGGTCTTTAGAAAATAGAGACAAAGCATCATACAGCTGGGCATATGCAGCTTTGATGAAATGATGCAAAATATGGAACACATGTAGAAAAAAAATCCGATTTTTATGTCATCGTTAACAGGTACCCCTGGTTATCGGTTTTTATAACTTGACTGTTATGGAGGATACTAGTGAATATTCCTCTGTAAGAACATGCAGAATGAAAAGAGCAGAACACTGATGATTACTTCAACCTTTAACGGTTTCATGAAGGAAGCATGTCCCAGAAAGAAAAGTGAGAACTGGCAGTCAGAAAGTTCTGAGAGAACCAAGGAAATAGAAAGTAAGATGTCTTAAGGAAGTAGAAAACTTGGCGATCAATGGTGCCAAATAGGACAGAAAAGTCCAATAAAACAAGGACTGAGAAAGTGAGGTTGGATTTGACCAAGAGGACACTTAGTGAGGAGTTGTAGTAGAGAGTGTGGACACGAGCAAAAATCCAGTGGGTGGGAAAATGGATGGAATGGAAGAAAATGACAGCAAGGAGAGGCCATTCATTTGAAAACCTGGGAGAATGGGAAGCAGAAGACAGGGTGCTCGCTCAAGAACATAAAGACAAACAAGGAACTTTAGGATGAAAGAGACCTGAGTAGGCCTCATGTAAACTGAAGGAATGGGCCAGGAGAGGAAAGGGTTGAGGGTACAGAGGGGAAAGTAGGGATTAGGAACAGCCTTGTTGAAGACACCTTGAAGCCTGGGGGCAAGGTAAGAAAAGTAGTAGGAGAGACTAACTTTGCATCTCTCATCCAACTTTAGGAGCAGAAATCCAGGATTTGCCATGTGCAACTAAATAAAGGTGGCATAAAAGAATTGGGGGTATATGTCCAGAGCCCAGCATAGGGCCTGGTATGCAGTCAGCACTCAATAAATATTTCAGTGAATGGACCGTGTCCCAGGGTGTATGGGCAGGGAGAGCCAGAGAAACACAGAGATGCTGAAAGAACAGATGGAGGAAAGGTCCCTATGATTAAAACAAAAAGCCTAGGATGGGATGAAGTGTATTAGTGATAGAGCTTCCAGGGTCTCTTGGTTAAGGAAGCTCCTGCTTCCCGTATCCAGTCCCCAACCAAATAACCAGACCACGCTGACTCTCACTGGTTGACCCCTTTATAAGCCCCGTCTTCCGTTTTAGCTTGAATTTATAACACTTTCCTGTCCTGCTCACTCATTAGTATCTTCCACAATTTTGTGCTGATGGTTCTCAAACTACACTTGCCATAAAATTCACAAAATACCAGCTTTTGGGGTTGAGCGTGTCTGACTGCCATTTTTCCCCCCATTCTAAATTACTTAGCTCCTTGGTTGGCAGCCTCGAAAGAAGTCCTTTCTTTTTTAATCTCCCTAGAGAGCACTGACTTTCCATTTCCAAATCTAGCTCATGTTCTGTAACCCATGTCTTTCCATTTCATCACCATGCTGCCCAGCTCCTCCCTATTCCCATCAAGCTCAATTTTTTTTACTGTTTGTTTACTAATTTCTTATGCATGAGTCAAGTCCATAGAAAGAAGCTGTAAATATTTACCTATAGAAGCTGAGTGCTTTGGGGGTGGAGAGGGTGGTGAGCAAGCATGACATTGACAGATTCAGCGTTTTATAAATCTTATTAAGTACTGTAGCCCCAGTATCCAGCTCAGTGCCCAGGACAAAGCAGGTATTTAGTACATGATTGCTGAATGGATGAATGAATGGATGAATGAATGAATGAATGAATGAATGAATAGTATATGCATTGGCAAAATTTCCAAGATGTCAGGTATCTCCCACCCAGTCCTGCATGATGAAATACTACATTTTCTAAAATTGTGGTTAAGATAAACATAACATAAAATGCATCATCTTTACCATCCTACAGTGTATAGTTCAGTAACATTAAGCATATTTACATTGGAGTGCAACTCATCTCCAGAACTTTTCCATCTCACAAAACTGAAAATCTATACCCATTCAACAACTCCTCATTTTCCTCATGGCCTCCTGCCCCAAGGCCCCTGGCAACCACCACTGAACTTTGTCTCTGTGCAGTTGACTACTCTAGATAGATACTCATGGAAGTGGAATCACATAGTATTTGTCTTCTTGTGACTGACTTGTTTCACTTAGCATGATGTCTCCAAGGTTCATCCAAGTTGCAATATGTGTCAGAATTTCCTTTCGTTTTAAGGGTGAATAATATTCCTGAATAATGTTCCTTTAAGGGTGAATAACATACCACATCCTGTTTGTCCATTCATCCAGCTATGGACTTGGTTGAGTTGTTTCCATCTTTGGCTATTGTGATTAATGTTGCCATGAACACGGATGCTCAGGTATCTCTGTGTGACCCAGCTTTCAGTTCTTGAGGATATATACCCCAAAGTGGAACTGCTAGATTATAAGGCAAATTCTGTTTTTAATTTTTTGAGGAACCGCCATATTGTTTTCTATAACGGCTGCACTCTTTTACTTTCCCGTTTCCAAGGGCTCCAATTTCTCTGCATCCTTTATTTTTTGTTATAGTCTTTTAAAAAAAAAAGTAGCCATCCTAATGGGATGGGGTGATTACGGCAATTTAAGGTCACCTTTTGCATAAATTCCTCTCTTACCAGCCAGTCCTAATCCCCACACTCGAAATAATTTATCCCTGTTCTAAATTCAATAGCAGGTTTTTCCTCACTTTCTGCAACTTGCTACCCTACTCCTTCAATTGTACGTTCTCCTGGTTGCTGTCTGCTAAGGTTCCTTGTGCCTTACTCATCTTTGGAACCCCCAGTGTGTACAGCACAATAGACTCTCAATAAGTATTGATATCAAATGAATTAACCAATGACTGAACCATTGAATTGGTAATTTCACAATATAAATGAAATAAGGGAGTACTGTTTTTTAAAGTATTGGTGAAAGATGTAATGGAAAAGCCTGTTTTCCCCAGGTCTAGCGGAGATGTTTGCTGTCAGCAAAATGCCTTTTGCCTACAGTTTATTTTTGAGATGGCTCTGGGATACTAGAACTCCACTGCAGACACAGGGCATATACCCAGAAGGCACCCAAAAAGAAAAGTGAGGATTACACAAGCCATATTTCCTCCCATGAAGCAACTTTCTTATCCAACTTGGAAACTCATGGATCTAACACTGTCAGTTATCACACTGTCAGTTATCAAGTTAGCCCAGTCCTTCTCTATGAAGACACCCAGAGTGTGACGTCATGAAGATGGCTGTGACACAGGTCAAGCTAAAAGGCAGTTGAGATATTCTCATTGGTTGCAGAGCCCTGTGGCACCCTGAAATGTGTTCAAGTTGTCCTGAGTATCCATTAGGCCAAGCTAACTCGGCACAGCTGCCTCCAGGTAGAGAACTGTGTCCTCAGGATGCAGACTAACTTGGCCTAATAACCTGTAATGGAAAGGAACAGAGTGGGAGGGGTCCATGTCTGCACCCAGAGCAAGCCACAGGGTAGGTCAGGCACCAACCTGTGGTCAGGTCAGTCCCCAGGGATAAGCCTTTAGGGGTCCTGGACTCATCTCTTCCTGTTGCACTCTACCTGGCCTGGCCTGAGTGCACCTGTCCTACACCTGGCATCTTTAGCTTCACATCTCTTTGGCAGAAAGTACTTACATCATATTAGGGCAATCTTTCTTCCTCTCATCCAGCCTCAGAGGCCCTTTGGTTTCTCCTAATTTTTATAGGACCAAATTAACTACTTTAATTTTCATGTTCTGAAGGTCTTCAGGCCCTGTCTTCCTAATGAGAGGTTTCAGAAACCCTAACCATGACCTTACCCCTTTATTCTAAGTGAAGATTTAACTAATTCTTTAGCCATGTTGCTATAACATCTCCCTCTCTGCAAAAATCTTATCACTTTCTCACTGAATTGACACCTCATCTTTATAGTTTTCATCCTGGGCCCTTTCTCATAAGGCTCAAATACGACGTTGACTAGTTTATCAGGCTGTGTATTAAGAGATTAGATGTTCTTCAGCCTTACAGATACCTTTGAAGATTCTCCAAAAAGAACTAGGGCAGAAACTTAAGCAGGAAATGAAGAGATGTTTTGCATCAGTGACTTAACACAGAGATGTTTTGCATCAGTGACCTAACACAGAGATGTTTTGCATCAGTGACCTAACACATCGTAACTCTGAGGCACACAGGTGGCTGGGGAACGGAGTAGTGACAGACGACAAAACGGGCCACCACTGCCCCTGTGGGAACTGGACACTCAACCGGCTCAATTTAGTTCCATTTTCATTCCATCAATTGACTACTAAACATTTCCAAATGGATGCCCCACTGATAGCAAATACTTAATATGATTAAGAGGGATGTCTGAAGGCATTCAAATTGAGTCCCAAGAGTGAACTCTCTTGAACCAAGTAAGAGCAGACCACAATAAAAAGTATCTGCCAGAAAGATTTTCATTAATCAAAAGGAAAGTTTGAAGCTCAACGTAATCAAATACTGTTGTTTTTCCAACCGTAAATCATAGTATCAACCATCCAAAAGCATATTCCCCTGACTAGCCAAGCATTTTAAAACAATTTTAAGAGCCTTGGTTTCTAGGGAAAATATTTTTTGCAAAGCCAAATT